AGCTTATTGAGCTTCCAAAGGGGCGGAAGGCAATTGGTTGCAAGTGGGTATACACGAAGAAGGAGGACATTGAGGGCACTCCATTGAGGTTCAAAGCTAGATTGGTTGCGAAGGGCTATACACAGGAGGAAGGTATTGACTATAATGAGGTTTTCTCTCCGGTGGTGAAGCGCTCTTCGATTCGGATTTTGCTAGCTTTAGTGGCACAGTATGATTTAGAGTTAGATCAGTTGGATATGAAGATAACATTTCTTCATGGTGATCTTGATAAAGAAATATATATGACTCAGCCATTGGGATTCCGAGCTGCAGGGAAAGATAAGTTGGTTTGTAGATTGAAGAAATCGCTATACGATTTAAAGCAGTCTCCTCGTCAGTGGTATATGCGATTTGATGGTTTTATGATTGGTCATTCGTACACTCGGAGCCAGTTTGATCCTTGCGTGTATTTTCGCAAGTTGAGAGGAGGTGCGTACATTTATTTGTTGCTATATGTCGATGACATGTTGGTTGCCTCTATTTTCAGGTCGGCTATAGATGAGTTGAAAGTTCAGCTTTCAAATGAGTTTGAGATGAAGAACTTGGGCGAGGCGAAGCGTATTTTAGGGATGGAGATCGGCAGAGACAAGAAGAAGGGCAGAATTTATTTGACACATGTGGCTTATTTGAAGAAGGTTCTACAGCGATTCCATGTTAGCATGGATACGAAGCCAGTTAGTATACCATTGGGAGCCCATTTGAAGCTTTCAGTTGGTCTTTCACCAAAGTCAGTTGAAGATTGAGAGTTGATGTCGAAGACTCCATATGCGAGCGCGGTTAGGAGCTTGATGTACGCGATGGTATGTACGAGGCCAGATTTGTCACAGGCGGTGAGCATGGTTTCGAGATACATGCACGATCCAGAAGTGGGTCATTGGGACACTGTGAGATGGATTTTGAGGTACATTCGAGGTACGCTCAATGTTAGTTTGGTTTATGAGCGGGACACTATATGCGGGCAGTTATGCATTGGCTATGTTGATTCGGATTATGCCGGGGATTTGGATAAGCGCCGGTCTACGACAGGGTATGTGTTCACTTTGACCCGTACGCCGGTGTGTTGAAGATGCACCTTACAGTCAACAGTGGCTTTGTCTACGACGGAGGCAGAGTATATGGTAGTTACAGAGGCTGTGAAAGAGGCTATTTGGCTTCGAGGACTTTTGGAGGAACTTGGTATATCGCAGCAGTCTGTCACTATTAATTGTGATAGCATGAGTGCTATCTATTTGGCGAAGAATCAGGTTTTTCATGCGCGGACGAAGCACATTAACGTTTGTTATCACTTCGTTCGAGATGTTCTTGAAGATGGCAATGTGGAGATTGTGAAAGTCCACACGAAGGATAATCCGGCGGATATGCTCACAAAGGTGGTTCCAAGCAACAAGTTTGATCATTGTAGAAGCTTGTTGCACATTCGTGATTGTTGAGGCCATTGGCAGCCATTTGGGTGAACTACGTGAGGCTTGATTCCTTGGGCAAGAGGATACGTAGGCAGTCTTTACGATGCAGCCGGTTTGGATTAGTTGATTTTGATGGGGGTGAGATTGTTTGGACTCTCGTTCTAGTTCTCGACTTGTTGTGGATTAAGTTCGTACTGGACACAACAAGTGGGACATTTGGTTGCTTTGGTGTCGGCTCAGTTTTGGAAAAACTTTACCAAGGTGGAGAATTGTGAACGAAGTGCGGGCCACTCACGTGCCCACGTTCGCGTATCTATTCCCAACTCGTTTGCGGATGCGGATGGATGGGGCCCAATTAATTTCCCAACTCAACTATTTATATACCTCTACTTTCGGTTTCTAGGGCTGTGCGAAGGCAGGAGAAATTGTGGGTGGCGTATAGGGGATTGTAGGAGAGAAAAAAAGAGGTTGTTGTCCTTTTGAGAAGAAACGCAGAGGAATCGCCGCCTTTTGAGAGGGATTTTGTGCATCCTTTTGTAGAGAGATATTGTGAGGGATCTGAGAGTTTGTTTGAGGGTTTAGGTTGTGAGTAATTGTAAACCCTAGTTGTAATCTCTCTCTCTAATAGTAGATCTCCCCCCTCATTGCCCCGTGGACGTAGGCAATTTGCCGAACCACGTAAAATTGGTTGTATCGCTATTTGTGTGATTTGTAATAGCTTTTAGGTTCCCTCGGCAGGTCAGTCCTAGAACTGATGAGAGGAACAGCTGATATCTCACTTGGTTGAGATATTTTGCTTAAGGTTCTTGTTTCCTTTGTGAAACAAGATTTCCCATTGCGACCTGACTCTCTTGTTGTGCTATCGAAGTGCTGCCGAAATTTCCGCTGCGCGCAACACAGTTCTCCTGGACTTTTGGACCGTGTTCTTCGTGATTCCAGCTTCGGCTTCAATTTTGGGTCTACGCTTTAGACTAACATAACATAATAGGAGAAAAACCTTCCAAGGTTATTCAGTACTTGGAGAGCTAAAAGACGAAAATATTACATGGTATGAGTTGAGTGTGTTTGATGATTGCACTCTTTTCAAGCTCATACAAGCTTTGGATTATTTGGGGAAAGCTTTGGATTATTTGGGGATATAGATGTTGTCGAATTTGGCAGATGAGTTCCTTTCAAGCGAGTTTCTAGACAGATGATTCTGATTTCAACAAGCGAGTTGCTAGACAGATGGTTCTGATGGAACCGACAATGAAGAGGTTGACCGAGGTATCTTAGTCGGTATTGATGCTATGTGTTTAGTCTGAATTAGTGATCATCCATCAGAATCCTAAGGTTTCTACAACTACAACTGTAACTGCAAATTGATTAGTATACTTATTGACAATAAAGTCTTTATCCTAATTTTTTTGTATGGACGAAATGAATGCTATTTTATTAGTTTGATGCTAAACCAGAAATGATCATAATAAAATCTTGTTATCCAAACACACCCTTAAACTTGCATATCAAGATGTATCTTAAGCGTGCATAGCAAGATTCATAGGTTTCTTTGCCACCACACTTCAAATAACATTATTAATTTTTCCATAATATCTGACTTTTGAATCATGTTCCAATATTCTTCTCTGCTCTTCCTCCATCAAATGTTCAAGTTAACCAATATTCATGCCCCCAATTATTACATAATTAGCATGCCCCTCTAACTAACTAGTATTTTTCATTTGACTAGATTCTTACATACACCTACTTGTAGATACCCTCTATATTTAATGCACCTAATCATCTTCTCCAAGAAAGAGTTGAATCATTCAAGTCTTCTGTAAGGTCTATATATACCCCCATAAATCATGTTGCTCTACAGACTAAATTTGCCTTACTTCAATTTGAATGGCCAAATCAAGCTTAATATACATCATTTCCCTAGCAATAGCTACTTCTTCTCTTCAACTCATGAACATTTCTATGGAAATACCGAGTAAGGAGATTGATCAGCGCACCAAGATTCATTGTTTACGTTCAGATGATATTTTCAGCTGCAACGAAGACATTATCAATATCGAAACTAGCACATTGGTTAAGTTTCTCACTGCTCCTATACTACGTTTGAGGGTGGATGGCTTAGAATTCCTGAGCGGGGGAGATTTGTTGAAGTTCGAATCAATTTATGTGCAGAAGGAGAATGAGATGCCTCAGGAAAGAGTTGAATGGTATAGGATAAATTTGAAAAGTAGAGAATTCAGCTATTTCCTTCTCTGAGTTAAACGAGAATGGAAAACACTTGTATAAAAGAATTCAAGACATCAGATTAATCAAAGGATTGAAGAGACCGTACAGAAAGAAAGACTAGCGGCTTCATACGCACGAGAGGTAGAATAAGAAAGACTATGTCATCAAACTCGCTACTATATTTGTCACATCAGTCGAGAAATGAACTAATATTATTTGAACGTGATATGTTGTAATCTCTTTGACATCTTTGTGTATTATGGAGAAAATTAATAACAGTTAAAGAACATAATTTGGTACAAGTTACCTCTTTCCAATTAACTTCGTTAAAATTCTTTATGCATATATATATTTTTTGATTTAACACTCGTATGCATATACAAAGTTTACTTTATAATCTAGGGTTTTTTCCCTCGATATTGGTTTCTCAAATCTTAAAATTTCTATTAAGGCTCTGTTTGGCAAAACTAGCTGAAAGCTGCGAGATTATAGCTGAAAACTGTTAAGCTAGCTGAAAGCTGTAAAATTATAGCTGAAAGTTGTTAGCTGTGTAGCTAGCTGATTGACTAGCGCTGTTTGGCAAAAGTAGCTGTACAACTAGCTTAAATTTGTTAAATGACTAAAAAATACATGCAATATTATTGATATAAAATTAGAATTATTAGGGGCAAAAACGAAAGAAAAAAATTGGCAGCTCCTTCCCAAAGACAAACGCTACTTGAGGTAGCTTTCCAAAAGCTACTTGCAAAAGACACAATCTCCAAAATAATCTCCTCCTATTTTTAGTCACCAAACAGCTCTACTAGTTTATTGACCAAGTCAATAAGACACAAACTCTTAGATAAGACACTTTTTTTGGTTGCCAAACAGTGCCTAAGTCCATCGATTCTTATAGGTTGTTTCAGAGTAATTCCTGAAGTCAAGAATGGCAATAGCAAAATATAAAACTTGATGGACTTAATAGCAATCAGTGATTTTAGGAACTAATTTCAGAATATTAAAGATTCAAGCGAGTAGTATAAAAACGAACTAACTATATAATTTATGATTGAGATCCAAATTTCAAAACCGACTATTCTCAACAAACCGAAAAGAGGAAAATCAGAATTTTACAAGGAGCTGGTATATAAAATAAAGGCTGAATTGGTTACTGTGCCAATTGTAAATGGGCCGCAATGATCTGAGCCCAACCCATTTCTAGCGATGATAGGCAACAATAAATATATTCAGGGTGTTTTATGAAAAAACGTTAGAGGACGGCGACTATATGATCAAAATTAGGGGTTTGAGCACCTCCTTTCAAAACGTCTCCTCCA